CCAAGGGGAAGGAGGGAGGATACTCTGAGCTGCATCCTGAAAACCCCCAAGCACACATGTAATTCCCATCCACCCCAAGAGGGTTGCCTTCTCTGGAGAGCCAGTGGGCACAGACCCATGTGAAGTCTGTGTGGCTGAATCGAGATATTGCTTGATCCCCTTCTTACCAAGTTGAAGATGAGTCCTCGCTGGTGAGAAAATGACTGGGCAACAGCAAGAGAGAGCAGCAGCAGGACCAGAGTTCTCTCCATGGCGTGATAGGACCACCCAAGAGTCTCTCTGCTGGGTTCAGGGCATGGACAGAAAGGTGCAGGGATGATTCAAGTATATAAAGCAGGTCTCCCTAGTCACATGACCAGCCCTTTCCCAATTGCATCCACACACATACCTCTGCAGAGCCAAGTGCTTAGGGAAAAAACAAGGTTTTTTCTCATGGTGTGAAATGTTTAAGCTAAAGACAGAAACAGATAAGAATAACAAAGATCCCCCAATTTCTGCTCAGGCACTGCTCTTATTGAAGGTGAATAGAATCCCATGCAAATTCATCATTATACTACCCAAGGTCTTAAAGTCTATTAGTTAAATTAAGCCAAAGACCCACTAACATCAATAAATGCAAAGGTTAAGATCAAAGCATTTCTTTGCTTTTACCTTTCAGATAATCGGCTGAGAAGTTCCACATCTGCGCTGTAGCCCCTCCACCCCTCTTGGCCATTCTCAAGGTCTCTATAGATTAGTTAGTACAGCCACGCTTATCTCACGAGCTCTCTCGGCAAGATCAGGAACCACAGGAAAAAGGGAAGGATTTCGCTCAACCAAATTTTGGTCAGCCAGCACTTCTCTTATAGCAAAGACCAATGAAAGTCATGGCAAGGAACCAGAACCATCAGCACAGCCAAAGAGAGATCCCATGAACACACACTGGTGGCCACAAAGAAGAGTCGTCCTGCGAGAAGATGTGCAAGAGATTTCAGTTGCCTTTCCTGAGAAAAATTTACTACTGCAATCACAGTAGTGTGAATTCCAGTGAGTACCTTCTCTTCTGGCAATGTCTGACTATTGGAAGGAAATTTGCTAACTTTTTCTTATGACAAATTTTCTTAAAAGAATGAGAAGATATTCGTATCTCTGTCAAATGGACTGACCATTTTCTGTAGTGGTTCTTTGTTACCACAAAAAGCTTTCCTAACGAAGAGATTAGGAAATTAAACCTACAATCCGGCCTGCCTCTCTCTCCTTGGAAATCCCCCAGATTCCCTGACTGCAGGAATGCTTTGCATGCAAGTCTCAAGCACCCACATTCAGTATGGGGTTGATTCAGCCCATTACAAAAATACAGAATTTGGACTAATAGTTTAGGGAAGGGGTTTCAGCCCAGACCCAACCTCCATAGATTTCTATTCTTCAAGTCGTTTGGGAGGCAGCATTACATCTTACACACTTCCACCTTCATCCTAGCTGATATGGGAAAGAAACTCAGTAAGCCAAGTCAAATATACATGAGTAAATAGGCATGCTCACACCACAGCCTGCAGACCTGGGGAAAGAGCTATGCAAGCTAATGCAACCATCAGGGTTTTATCAGCATTGAAATCATAGACCAGCTTCCAGGTCTTTTTGCTGATATGGAGTTAGTCCCCACCTCCAAAATGGGAATGAGCTGTGGTGGTAAGAGCACTGGGCTAGGAGTCAGGGTCTATGGGTTATACTCCTGACTCCATCCTGAGCTTGGTAAGAGGTCAACATTTTCAGAAGTAGCCCTTGAAGTAGGCATTCCCAAATTCCACGGTCCAACAGTTAGGACTTGGTTTTCCAAGGTACTGGAAACACTGCTGAAATCAGTGGGAGCTGGGAGAATATAGCACCCCTGAAAGTCTGGCCCAACACCTTGAACACCCAAAATCAGAGGCAATTTTTGGTTTTAGCATGCTTCTCTGAGACTTAATCAATGTCAAGGAATACACCTTCAAGGGTAACAAGAGGGCATGAGTAATTTTGTGCTGTGGAATATATTTTGCTTTGGTATTATATAGGACCTCTCTTCTAAGGCCCCTGCCACACTTATATATGTTCCTGTGGGTCTGGGAGGCACTTCACAGAAGGTGAACCTGGGGCATATAAATGTGAAATGGCCTGTGCAAGGCAACTTGTCTACAAGTCCAGAACTCCTGGCAACCCGCCCCATGATCTTAGCACTTGGCAATCCTCTCTCCCTTATGATCTCCTTTTAAAAGAACAAAAATCACAAAATGGACTTAATTTTCTTTCCCTGCAGACCCCTATCAGTAAATCCAATCTACTGAACCACTGCAATGCCAAATGATGTGCTACAGGAATCTAGGAAACTTATTTATCCTGGGTAGCCAGATGGACCCAACACAGTGCTGATTCCACTGAAATGAATAAATGATCCAATTAAAACCATTGCTTGGCCATGTGCCCCTTCTCATTACACCTTATATTGGCACTGGCAAAAGTCACACACGAGGCCCCATACTGCTGAGACTGGAAATCGGTCTCTGTCCAGAAGAGCTTATCATCTAAGATGTGAAATAACATCTGGGAATGGGGCCAGGAGAGCTAAGAGTTATAGCAGTTAAATTGCTCACGCTAAATGTGTGGTCATCTTGGCAGTTTGCTAAACAGAGACCGAATTGTACTGGAAATCAGTATTCAGTGTTATTGATTCAGGGGTCCTATAGGAGGGGCAAGGTTGAAGGGGAATAGGAACGGCAAGTGTGGTGTGGTCTTATACATCCTGTTTGGTCCACAAGCACCATCCACGTGAATGTTAGTGCTCTGGGACAAGTAGTTCAAGGTCCTATGGATGACCCAGCAGGAGTCAAAGTCTAGTCCTACTGAGCAACTGCTTAGCAGCATGAATACACAGGTCATTGCCTGGCCCAAAAGTAACAACTTCTTCACCCTAGCTGCAATTCAGCTAGGGATGAGCTAAGAAGAAAGCATAAGGGCTAATAATACCAAGCTGTAAATTAGTCAGGGCACTGTGACAAAGCTTTCCAGACCTCCAGCTGCCATCTCTTCTCAGCCATTCGAGCTATACCTTGCACTCCAGCAAGGCATCTGTTAGAGCCCCACAGTGTCACTGATAACAGCTTGGCTGCATGCCCAGAAGGAACCAGCAAACAACACCTGTTCTTCCATATATTTGCTCTTTAAATATTTCAGTAGTTAAATGATAAAAGGAAAACAGATCTGGGAACAGAGCAGCTTTGCATTTCCTATCACTCTGTCCACTTCTAACAATGGTTAACAAGTCTGCAGCCCTTTTTTTTGGCCTGAAGCCTTTGAGGGCTTGTCCACATTGCAGCTATGGTTCCAGTTATCCATGCTGAAGTTGCTCTTCTCAAACTAGCTGCAGTGAGTCTGGCCACATTTTAAAAGACCCCTTGAACTCTGCAAGGAGGAAGCAGGGTGGGGAAGGGCTAGTAGCACAGAATAGCTGAGATGCCTTCTGAATTACTAGTTCAGGGGCTAACAAAACTCAGCACAAGGCCTTTGCTGGGCTGGCCTGCACAAACTTAAGCTATTATTAGCTTGAGCAATAGACATGCGTGTGTGTGCAGAAGACTCAGGTGAGGCACAATGCTCAAATTACACCTCAAGATAATATTGCAGTCATGTCAGGCCCTTTGCCCTCTGAGTGCTAACAGATGGGCAGCAGCAGGCAAGTGTCAGATAACTCCAGAGTATTGTGACTTCGTCCCTACTAAAAGGGCCAGAGAGCAAACCATCTCCTGCCAGCTAACACTGAGCAACTAAAGAAGTCCTTCATTTCAAAGGAGCTTAGGTTAGCACATTCTCCATTGATAATTAATGCCAAGGTCTTGATTAAAAGAATCTTCCCAAGAGAACCCCTGTATACTAGGAAATCCCTCTCTGTCCCAGTTACAACTGAGCTGCTTTGCCAGTGGTAGCGACAGTGAGAGTGTTGGTATACAGAGGGGTAAACTGGTTTTACCGCTAAGAGTACTGGTATGTCTGCAGTTCCATCACAGCAGTGGCTCCATTATAACATGGACATACTCAAACTAGTTAGCTCCAATCCTGGTAGCCATCTAGCTGAGCCAACACAGAGGTCTGCACGGGCTTTAAAGAGGGTAAATTAGCCTGCTCTGAACTCTGTGCTGCCCCAGTGACACTTCTACCAGTATCTAGGCTGGCTGGTTTACTTCTAGCTCAGGGATCTACCTTGTGCTCAGGCCTCTACAGACATGGCAGCCAGACCACGCAACACCCAGGCACATTCAGAAGGGAGTTAAATGAATAGGTTGCATGAATGACAGTGTCCTGCTTATGCCTGTGTTCCCCCAGAGTTGCCCCCAGCAGAGCTGATCCAGGACTGGGGCCAATGCCATCGCTCTCCAAGCAATGCTGGTGCCACTTGCACCTGCTGGGTCAGCCTGAAGATCCACAGACCCCCCCCCCCTTGGGACTGCCAGTGCAGCCGGGAGGCCCATGCAGGGAGCCAGCGAGAAGGATGCTGCACCCAGTCGCTCCTCTGATTGCAAACCAGACACCCCACTGGTGCCAACAGTGCAACCCAAGTGGAGCTATGTGGCTTTACTCCAGCTCAGGATTTGGATCCTGCCTCCCCCCACCACACCCTCCCTGCTGGGCCAGGGAGTTGCAATCCCGTGGAGATGCGCTCCTGGCTGCCGGTCAGGGCATGCCCCGGGGACTCCTCCGCCGCCCCTGCAGCCACTCTCCGGCTCCGTGCCGCCGGCGCTGTCCGCGGTGCTGAAGGGCGACAGAGAGCGGCG